AAATAGTTTTTTTTTTTTTTTTAAAGGGTTACCTGCTGATCCCTTTAAAAGGTTTAAAAAGAATGGGGGAATAAAAATAAATAATAATATACAAAATTAAATTTAAAAAAAAAAAAAAAAGTAAAAAAAACTAACATGTGTATATGTAACTAACACGCGTTCAAACATCTTCGAGAAATCCGGTGTGTTATATTTTAATGTATAATGTATAAAAAAAAAAAAAATAAAATAAAATAACGAGCAACTTAAAAAAAAAGGAAAAAAAAAGACATGGCGACGACGAAATACGAAACTAAAAACAAACAAACAAAAAAAAACCAAAAAAAAAGGACACATCATTAATTATTATAATCCCATTCGTATAAATGATATACATATACATATACATTTATATATATACAGAGTAAGTTTGTCATTTAAAAATTGCATCGTCGTTATTAGAATTTTTGTCTGAAAAACTAATCGTTGTACAGTGTGTTTAGAATAGAAAATAATTTCAAAATTAATTATATCAATATATTATACATTTATTTCAATGTTTACTGTATACCTATACTACTGATATACACTTCATGTGCATTCAATAATTTTATTCTGATATTTTATTGGATAATAATTTTGTTATACAGTAATATCAATATTACTACAACTTTTTATTAATTATTAATTATTTTTTATACATTATTTATTAACAGTTAGTACATTTACTTGTGTATGTTCAGTTATACATACAATTTACAGTTAGTTTCATTTACATGTCAGACAATAATGCTCTCAAATTAACCTTAATTAATTTCTTCAATCTTAAACATACTGTACTAATAAATATTCCAAACAAAAAATTTAATAAACAAAACGATATAATATTTTAAATGAAACACTCACTGTATATATATATATATACTTAAATTATGCTCGTTTTAAAAAACACATACATGTATACAAAGTGCATACAATTACACTTAACATATATACTACATTATTCAAATGAATGAATGAATGAAAGAAAGTTAGAAAGAAATGAAACGAATAAAAACAAAACAAAATAATATTAAATAAAATGAACAAAAATAATAATTAAATAATTAAATTTAACAAACAAACAAAAAATTTCCTCCTCATCTCGTTCTCCACACATACACACACACACACACACACATATATATATACACACATAAAACATGATTCATATAAACATTAATTACATAATTAATACTGTCCGACCTAAACTTCTATTTCTTATAAATGAAACAATAATTAATTAACTTACACTTTTACACGCGCATACATACACACACATAATAAAAAAAAAAAACGTTTCTGTCGAATCTGAAAAGAAAAGAAAAGAAAAGAAATGAAAAGAAAAGAAGAAAAAAAAATGATTTAGAAACCCAATTTTAGGGGTGTTTATGTCGAACCTCTTCGTTGTTTCTACACCTTCAATGTAATCCTCGATTCGAATGAGAAGAAATAAATGTATCATCTCAATGTAACGTTCAAATTTAAAGAAGAAAAAAAAATCAGAAAGATAGAGAGAGAGAGAGAGAGAAATAAAAAAAAATAATTAATAATACGAATACGAATAATAATAATAATAATAATAATAATAAAATTGATACGAAAAAAAATAAAACATTGAAATTCGTGTTTCTAGTTAAAAAAAAAAAAAAAAAAAAAAAAAACGGTAAGGTAAATAAAACGAAGCCTGAAATATTTTCGTTCTATTTTTTTTTTTGGTTTATCATTTCAACCAATGTTCTTTTCTTCCATTTTTGTTTTTCTTTTTTCATAAAATATTTGCTAAATGAGTGGTAGTTTTGTAGTAGCTGTAGAGTATTTATTAATAGAGTATTTTTAATAATAAATAGATCGTCTAACAATTATCTTTTGAATATACATATATATTGACAAACGTTTAAATAAAAAAAGTAAGAGAATTAAAAAATTAAAAGAAGAAGATGAAGATGAAGATGAAGATGAAAAAGATTCTGTCTCGAAATTGCTTGTAACGATACCTACGATGATATTTTCTGTGCTTATCTGGAGGATTGTAAAAAAAAAAAAAAAACAACCAATGTAGTCAACAAATATTCCATGAATATTGTCAATAAATAGAAAAAGAAAAAAAAAGAAAACAAGAAAAAAAAAAAGAAAAAAAAACCCAACAAAAATTCGGATAAAAATTCGTGTTTATTTGTTTCGTAAAAAAAAAGCCCGTCTCTTGTCCGAGGGTACACCTATTACCATCACTATTGTTAAATATTATACATAATAATGCCAGATATTTGAATAGAAGGCTAATTATACGAGTATAAAATTAAAATAATAATAATAATATTAATATTAATATTAATGATAATAAACACAAAGATTAAGTAAGGTGTGTACATTTTAATTTTTATGAATATAATAAAATTATTATTTAACGTTCTTCGTTTTCTCTTGCATCTCGATTAATTAAAAAATAATAAAAAAAAAAAAGTCATTTATAATAAAAGAATTTTTCTACTAGAACCAACAGTCGATAAAGAAGGAATCTGTTTTTTTACTATCCAGAAATCTATTATTACTACTGATAATAGTAATTATTATTATTATATTATTACATTTTATTACTATTATATTTATACAAAATACCCTCTTTAGGTTATTAATAATAAATTTGGAAATATTTCAATGCTTGATGTATTCATACGACAACCAATCAGTGACAGTTGTGTAATTCCACCTAATAACGCTAGGACAAAATCAATATGGCTACCTGTCAATGTAAGTTGAATGCAAATACGGCTATGTGCAGTGTAATGTATTTAGTTTATAAATTTTAGGTTATTCAATAAACAAATGGGTAATATTTTTTATTATTATTAATTAGTTTCATGTTCTTTTTTTAATGATCATCAATTCAGGATGAAAATAATTAAATTGGATGGCTTGCTGTGTGATTCTGTTATGACATAACCTAACAATGATTAGTGATCAGTAAAGAAATATCATGTGGGCAGATCACACGTGTTAGAAGTGAAACCTTCGAAAAACTAAGTCTCGAGAGAAAGAGACAATTGCAAAATATCAGGAGTAGGATAATTGTTGGGTTTATTTGTTATAATATTATTATTATATTATTGTTATCACGTTCAAAAATTATTATACGTTTTATTGAAAACATATATAAATAGATAACATATTAAACAGTAAGCAAGTTCTCAATTCAAACAAATGTGACAAGTTGCTTCTGGTAACTTAAAAATGCATGGTAACAAAACAATTCTGTTAGTCTAGTAAACACCACTATAGTAAGGTTTTTTCCAAAAAGTAGTGAGGTTTTTTCCAAAAAGTAGTGAGGTTTTGTCCGAAAAGTCCGTAGGGTCTTTCCGATAAGTCCGTAGGGTCTTTCCGATAA